AGTAATGGTATTTCGGGCGATGTTCCAGGTTTCGGAGTGACTTTACCACTGGCGAAACCCCCACCAGCACGTGTATGGTGCAGGCAAACCGAGGTACGTCATCGGGATGAACGAGGATTCGAACCCACAATCGTAGATTTCTGCATGCAGGGTTTGCAACTCTGCCATTTAATACTGCATCTTGAAATACATGCACCCATGAAGCAAGTCTACTGCCGTCTTAGTGGTTATCCATGTAGCCAGCGACAACGCATGGGTCGTTATCTGTCGCCTGCAGCAGTTAACGACGATATATAACCATGCAATTTATTTAAGTCAAAAATCAAAATAACGTTGCTCTCTTTAACCAAGTGAATCTGCCTGCTATTGCTCAGGATTGGCGTCAGGTCTCCACATCACGACAAACTACGCCGTCAGTAGCTGTTTCCCGCTGTCACCGACGTTGCTGGGAGTATCCAGTGACTCCTCCACACGCAACATAGACATCAAGTTGTATCGCCAGTTACATTGTAACCATATAACAGCAGTACAATTACGTGTAACGATAACTAGTTAATGAACATTTCCCAAACGGCATGGCAGATCATCTTTTTCAGTTCCGATAATATTGATGCTGTAAAATAACATGGGACCTGTCACGGTTGAATTATTTCATCATCTTAGTTCGGCACAATAACATTGCTATGTTACAACTTAATCTAACAATAATCAGGATTATATGTGTGACATTATTGTAACGATACATGCTTACAATATATTGTCGTAATAACGGCAGGAAGACAATTGTAGCATTAATGTAACAATATCTTGCTAAAATGTAATTTTATAATAAGGTTAGCTGTTTACAATGTAACGCTATCATAATGAAGTTGATACAACGTTACAATCTAACATTGATGTGATCACTTGTTACACAGTGTTACTCATTACGACACTTTTCCTCGTTACACTGTAACACCACAACGATAACTTGTCACAATATTACAGTATTAAGATGTATTGTTACAATGTAACATTATTAAGATATGTTAATACTATATAACATTATTAAAATGTGTCGTTACAATGTAACATTATTTATATGTGTTACAATATAACATTATTAAGATGCATTGTTACAATGTAATATTATCAAGATGTGTTGTTACCATGTAACATTATTAAGACGTGTTGGGCAATGTAACATTATTAAGATGTGTTACAATATAACGTTATTTAGATGTGTTGTTACAATGTAACATCATAACGATGTGTTATTACAATATAACATTATTAAGATGTCTTGTCAGTTTATATCATTATTAAGATGTCTTACAGGGTATAATAATGCTACAATGTACCTAGTTGAATGAAAAAATAATGTTACCATATCTTATTTTGCCACAGATTATTACAATGTAACATTTTGTTACAAATTATTATAGTGTAACATTATTATGTTTTGACAATTTATCTCGTTGCAATGTAAAAACATTGCTACCAAAAAGAGGGGTTCAGTTCCATTAAATAAGGGTTCAGTTCCATTTAAGAAGGGTTCAGTTCCATTAAAGAGGGGTTCAATTCCATTAAAGAGGGGTTCAGTTCCATTAAAGAGGGGTTCAATTCCATTAAAGAGGGGTTCAGTTCCATTAAATAAGGGTTCAATTCCACGAAAACATTACCTGAACGGAAACATGTAGACTGCTCGACTGAACCATCCATTGTATTAATACAAGTCTAAGTAATACAACATATTATTAACTGTACACTTTGGTGAACATTGCATTATATAATAGACCACCACTACTCATAATTAAATTGTGATGAAATGCTGGATTCCATTTACAATGGCTGCAAACAATGTTTGATAATGTGTTCTAACCAATATCGACTGATATGGAAGAGGTAGAATGGTTTCCACTGTTGTGGAGGAGATGGGGGTAGTTTCATTGTTGTGGAGGAGATGGTGGGGAGTTTGATTGTTGTGGAGGAGGTTCATGGGATTCATGAGGTTGGATATGGAGAGGTTCGACCGTTGTGGAGGATATGGAGGGGTTCCACTGTTGTGGAGGATATGGAGGGGTTCCACTGTTGTGGAGGATATGGAGGGGTTCCACTGTTGTGGAAGTGGCAGGAGTCGACTGGTGTGGAGAAGATGGAGGATTCAGGAGGTAGGATATGGAGGTGCTCCACTGTTGTAAAGGAGGTGGAGGAATTTGACTGTTGTGGAGGAGGTGGAGGTGTTCCACTGTTGTGAAGGAGGTTGAGAAGTTTGACTGTTGTGCAGAAGATTGATGGGTTTGACTGTTGTGGAGGAGATGGAGGGGTTCCACGGTTGTGGAGGATATGGAGGGGTTCAGCTGTTGTGGAGGAAATAGACGGCTTCGGCTGATGTGGGAGAGATGGATGGGTTTGACTGTTGTGGAGTGGATGGAGGGGTTCCATTCTTGTGCAGAAGATTGATGGGTTTGACTGTTGTGGAGGAGATAGAGGGGTTTGACTGTTGTGGAGGAGATGGAGGGGTTTGACTTGTGGAGGAGATGGAGGGGTTCGGCTGTTACGGAGAAGATGGAGGGGTTTGACTGTTGTGGAGAAGATTGATGGGTTTGACTGTTGTGAAGGAGATGGAGGGGTTCGGCTGTTGTGGAGGAGATGGAGAGATTTGACTGTTGTGGAGGAGATGGAGGGGTTCGGCTGTTGTGGAGGAGATGGAGGGTTTGTCTGTTGTGGAGGAGATGGAGGGTTTGACTGTTGTGGAGGAGATGGAGGGGTTCGGCTGTTGTGGAGGAGATGGAGGGTTTGACTGTTGTGGAGAAGATTGATGGGTTTGACTGTTGTGAAGGAGATGGAGGGGTTCGGCTGTTGTGGAGGAGATGGAGAGATTTGACTGTTGTGGAGGAGGTGGAGGGGTTCCACTGTCCACAGTTGTGGAGGAGATGGATGGGTTCCACTCTTGTGCAGAAGATTGATGGGTTTGAGTGTTGTGGAGGAGATGGAGGGGTTCCACAGTTGTGGAGGAGATGGAGGTGCTCCACTGTTATGGAGGGGTTCCACAGTTGTGGAGGAGATGGAAGTGCTCCACTGTTGTGGAGGAGATGGAGGGGTTCCACTGTTGTGGAGGAGATGGAGGGGTTCCACAGTTGTGGAGGAGATGGAGGTGCTCCACTGTTGTGGAGGAGATGGAGGGGTTCCACTGTTGTGGAGGAGATGGGTACAAGCGGGGTAGGGAAAACAATGCAGTTCAATAACTGTGAGACAGATAACTCGAATTGTTGTGTGGATAATACAGAGGTTGACATAAATGTTCTCCTCAAGGGGAGTTCAACTGGTGTCGAGGGTGGTGGTGGTGGTTCGGGTGGTGGGGGCGATCATTGGGATTCGAAACTTCGGTGGGTAAGCAGTCACAGAGCAAATGGACGCTTCTCTTTGATCCGGTGAAGGGTCAAGGCCGATCGTCAAATGGAATAGAATATGATTACAATAGGTCCGAATATACGAACCAGCGCAGTTAGGGCCTTCATTTCCTGCAATTATAAAAACAGGCAATCGATGTACAGATTGGCCGTGGAGGCGTGGGACTCTGCAGACATCTGGTAAGGCGACAGCACCCTCATCTCCAGGGTCGACGTCACCAGCACAGACATATCACTGTAGTTCAGTATCGGCTCATTCGGTACTTGGACAGTAATTACGGTCTCCCGTCTATAATCGTATATGAGAAGGAGAATCTCGTCCTCCTTGCCCTTATCATAAGTAGGTGCAACTGATTCTTATGACTGGATATAAATATACTGGAATATGTTTTTTGTATACTGGCATGTTTTTAATACGATGGAACCAATCAGGTCATGAAGGAAGGTTTCAATACCAAGAGACAACATTCCGTGGAACTGTGGTTTGATCCTAATGTCCAGTGTAAGATGTTTCTCGAAAGGTCTTCAAATAGTCTATGTCCATTTGTATATAGATATCGGCTAACCAATAACAATATGTCCCCTCTGACGTCATCCAATGGCTACTGTAGTGTATGTATCAGTTTGATAATCCTGATTCATATGATGACAGCATAAATTACGACGCGCGTGAACCGGTTCCGCTTTAAGAGGACCGTGTTACATCGAGGTAATGTGTTACTCCGCTGCTCAAATAGATCGGTTTCCTTTGCCAGGTCTATGATAAATTGGTTATTTGGTCTGACCATTGTCCGAGCACTCGGACCGGTGTGGAAGAGCTGGGCACGTGATTCACATAACGCGAGGTTGTCAAGCAATATCGCTGTTATAAACAAGACAAGACGGGAAGATAGTCCAAATAACACTGAACATAGAAGGAGTTAATACGTCGTACGTGCCTCACAATAATACATTGGCATGTGCTAGAATATATACGTTCCTACACTTGTTCTACAGCTATGACTCTAACTGAACCAGTTTTTGTTGTTTTTGACGAATGCCAACATTATTTAGTCACACTTCGCCAGCTGCAGAGTACATTTGAATATTGTCAATAGTTCGAGTGATGATTAAACGGGAATTACCATTCCGCTAGTTTGATTGCTTCCTGTGTGGGGAAGAACATTTGAGGAATACAAACATAAAATCAAGATGGCTCCTCGTGATAAGAGCAACAGGTGATGGTGAAATATAACCACTAGCTGTGGTCTATGTAATATATAGCCTCTGAAATGAAACATGCACAGGAATAGTTTCCAGCAGGGCTTGGTTTGTGACCTTTAACTGTGTCAGTGAAGGTCACACAACATGAGCCAATCGCTCCCAGTCTGTCGTAAACTCCTCACACAGCCCCCAGTGTCTTCAAGCGACACCTACCCGGAAAAACTGTCATCGGAAAGAAAATATGTAATAAATAATATGACCATAAGGAATATTCGAAAACACAGCTGACGTAAAAGATCAACAGGTTGTTGAAAACCATGAGGAATCGTGTCTGTCACGACCACTGGACTGAAAACGCCTTGTCACAGTTTGGTCATGGTGTAAAATGTATATAAATTATCTTACCTTACAATGCGTACAATTCCATTTGACCGAATAGCGGTCCGTACAATCCATCCGTTCTAAAATGTCCTGAAAGCCGCTTATGCTATGTTCAACCTCCAGGTCTATGGCTAGAAGTCTGTCCAAACAATTAGTACACTCCGACATGGAGCCGGCGACTTTGCAGGGGTTCTCCCTATTGGAAGCGCTAATAAGGGAATATATAGGATACGAGGAACACAATTTTAGCCGTATGTTTCTTCGGCGTATCATTTTCGTTCTCGCCTTAACTTGCTTGTCACAAATCTGTCTGTTTAGATCTGTCGTGAGGCTAAGGCACGGGTAGAGGGTTGAGGAAACGGACGCATTATCAAGATAGTACCCCAGATAGGAGCACGTGCTCGCTAGGACGGACCCACGCGCAATACTCTCCAGGGTCACGAGAAGAAACACTAACACAGCAGGCCAATACCGTGTGCGTCGACCCCGTAGGCACTGTAGGCGTCCACCGAAGCCCCACGGGAGGGGGGGCAAACTGCGATATAACTGCTTACTGTTCCCATTCCCTAGAAGATCTGGCATATTTCATTGAAGGTACACGGAAGGGGAACAAGTGCACAAAATCTCGAAATAAACATGAACAATCTTTAATTGAGCAATCCCGTCGCTCAAAGACACTCATCCAATTTCGATTGTTGCCCAATGGTATTGCCTACTGAGCAGGAGGACTGAAGCGGGGTGTCTAGCTGTCACCTCGCCTCCACAGTGCCAACTGGCGCTTTTAGCTTGTGTCGTCTGCTCTTACTTCCAACCCACGTCGGAATATTTCACACACCGCATAATTCTCACAACTTGATCAACTTGTCACGGGGTTTTATAGCTGGGTTTTCTCCACATACTGCAGGTAACTCCAAGGCCCTGCTGAACATCGTCTGCTCACAAGACGCGGCTGTCCGAAACCCAGCGCCATCTTGATCAAAAGCTTTCAGACGAAATACGCATGCCCAAAGCCAATTGGCTCATTTCGGTGGCAGAGCCGAGGCGGCCGACCACTTGTAGCTGTTTCGCGAGTAGATGTAGCGAGTACTGCCGGGGTCTTATTATGCGGCGCAGACCAGTGACTGTTCCACCGCTCAACCCTCCCTGCTACTGGCATAAGCGACCGTTGGCTACTGGCACATCACCCCTCCTATCCACAGATCGAACTGCGACCCGCAATCACTGACATGGTCTGTTCCAAAACCTCTGGTCGATAGACCCTGTCTTCGACGCTATAGGAAATACTGTTAATTTTGTTCACACTGGTGCACGTTCTGTGAACGCAGGGATAACACTATGCAGTATTGATTTTCTATATTGAAGACCCAACTTTGCTACCGTGATCTGGAGGAACTACAAAACTATGGGAGACTTTTTCATCTGATCATTACAAGGCTAGCTATCTCCATCACCGTGCTTGTCTTCGTTGTACGTCCACGCTGGTGGCGTGCTTGTCCGGTGTGCATGACACGGCACCAGACCTTCACTACCAGGGAGTCTGTTGGCTGACGAGGACGCATGCTGCTTTTGTCGTCTTGAAAACAGCTGACATGAAAAAAAGCGTCATTAAAGAGAGATGGCTGGGGTCGAGGCGCGGACGCCGAGCGTGGGGGAAGATTTTACTGCTCACGTGCGGTGGGAAGGGATGATGCTTTGCTAGGTTACCTGGGGGAGAGAATCGGGGTAGGCGATTATGACGAAGGAGGTGACTTCAGGTAGGGAGATAGCAGTATTCATATCTGTGGGTGATGAATGGGAGAAAACAGTGTTATCATTGGTATGTGGAAGTAAGGACTGTTATCCTTGTGAGTTGGGTGTGGAGGCAAGGACTGTTATCCTTGTGAGTTGGTCGTGGAGGTAAGGGCTGTTATCCTTGTGAGTTGGGTGTGGAGGCAAGGACTGTTATCCTTGTGAGTTGGGCGTGGAGGTAAGGGCTGTTATCCTTGTTGAGGCATTGTTATCCTTGTGAGTTGGGCGTGGAGGTAAGGGCTGTTATCCTTGTGAGTTGGGTGTGGAGGCATGGACTGTTATCCTTGTGAGTTGGGCGTGGAGGTAAGGACTGTTATCACTGGTAAGTTGGGTGTGGAGGCAAAGGCTGTTATCCTTGTGAGTTGGGAGTGGAAGTAAGGACTGTAATCACTGGTAAGTGGGGTGTGGGGGCAAGGACTGTTATCCTTGTGAGTTGGGTGTGGAAGTAAGGACTGTAATCACTGGTAAGTGGGGTGTGGGGGCAAGGACTGTTATCCTTGTGAGTTGGGTGTGGAGGCAAGGACTGTTATCCTTGTGAGTTAGGTGTGGAAGCAAGGAGTCTTATCCTTGTGAGTTGGGTGTGGAAGCAAGGAGTGTTATCCTTGTGAGTTGGGTGTGGCGGCAAGGACTGTTATCGTTGTGAGTTGGGTGTGGCGGCAAGGAGTGTTATCCTTATGAGTTGGGTGTGGAAGCGAGGACTGTTATCCTTGTGGGTTTGGTGTGGAAGCGAGGACTGTTATCGTTGTGAGTTGGGTGTGGAAGCGAGGACTGTTATCGTTGTGAGTTGGGTGTGGAAGCGAGGACTGTTATCGTTGTGAGTTGGGTGTGGAAGCGAGGACTGTTATCGTTGTGAGTTGGGTGTGGAAGCAGGACTGTTATCGTTGTGAGTTGGGTGTGGAAGCAAGGACTGTTATCGTTGTGAGTTGGGTGTGGCGGCAAGGAGTGTTATCCTTGTGAGTTGGGTGTGGCGGCAAGGACTGTTATCCTTGTGAGTTGGGTGTGGAGGCAAGGACTGTTATCCTTGTGAGTTGGGCGTGGTAGCAAGGAGGTTTGGTAAGTAACTGGGTGTGGAAGCAAGGAGTGTTATCCTTGTGAGTTGGGCGTGGAGGCAAGGACTGTTATCCTTATGAGTTGGGCGTGGTAGCAAGGAGGTTTGGTAAGTAACTGGGTGTGGAAGCAAGGAGTGTTATCCTTGTGAGTTGGGCGTGGAGGCAAGGACTGTTATCCTTGTGAGTTGGGCGTGGTAGCAAGGAGGGTTGGTAAGTAACTGGGTGTGGAAACAAGGAGTGTTGGTGGGTGAGGTTTAAAAGAAATCAGCATTGTCATCAGTAAGACTGACTGACTGACTGAGTTTGGTTTTACGCCGCTTTTAGCAATATTCCAGCAATATCACGGCAGGGGACACCAGAAATCATCAGTAAATGGGTTTGGTAGGACATCAGTTAGAAGTTTGGAAGTTGTTATCATCGGTTAGAGGGGTTTGGAATGAAGCAGGGTTATCACCGGTAAGAGGGGTTTGGAAGGAAGCAGTGTTATCATCGGTTAGAGGAGTTTGGAAGAAATCAGTGTTATCATCGGTTAGAGGGGTTTGGAAGGAAGCAGTGTTATCACCGGTAAAAGGAGTTTGGAAGGAAGCAGTGTTATCACCGGCAAAAGGCGTTTGGAAGGAAGCAGTGTTATTCATGGTCGGAGAGGCGGGGGAGGATTTCGGTGAGTAATTGCGTTGTGCTTGGTGGGCTGGGTGGGGAGGATGCAGTGTATGTGGGTGCGGCCAGTGGTATAGTCTGCAGTGGGGATCAAGGATGCACTGATGTTGTCAGCATCGCCTCGGCGCCATTCTGAATCACTGGACTGATTAGTCCGTATAGTACTGAAGTCGGGTATCAATGTCCCCGAAGATTGCTCTTGGCGAGAGAGTGAATAATGTCTTATATTTCCTCCAGGATTACGCAATAATGCACTGGGCAAACGTGTTAAAAATAGCGGAATATCTCTCCGTTATCCGCTGACGTGTGAAGATGGCACGGGGGTGGGGTGGGGGGTACCAGTCCGTTCGCAACAATCGTTTGAAACTCCCTGTAAGTCTCTTATCTGGAGAACGTATATCGTTCTTATCGGAATACACGGGCGAGTGGAGTTGGGTAGCAGGGGAAATGCTTACTCTGTTACGTCAGTGGGAGCGAGGCAGGGGGTTGCTAAACGGTACAGCATGTCACCTTTGTTATCCCCACCCCCAATTACCCCATCCTTCCTGATCCCCGCCAAACCAGGTCGGCGAGATTATCCAGCCACTGTTACGTCAGAAACTTCTCATGTGCAACATGCCGCCCTTTACCGCCAGGGAGATAGCGTATCAGCCGTGATGCAATGATGCGGGGATTAGTGGGGTGGGGGATGGAGCGGCACCCCAGGAGGCCTGGTACCGTTCAGTCAGTCTGAGACACAGGGTATAGACTAACGCTTAGTCCCTGAGTACATACAATTTTGATAGTATCAAGTACACCGATTTACATTGAAAAGAAGCTCCAGTAAGTTTTAGGACTTGCTTCATTTAGGGCTTAATCATTGCAGGGAGGGCTAGGCAGTCGGGAAAATAATGTGGTTGAGGGACTGTGAGACAGACTGACACAGGAATCTACAGAAACGTGATTATAATCCGGATTAAAAGTGCCCATCACACTTTTAAAGAACAGTGTACATTATACAGAACCAACTCTGAATGTACATAATTTTGATAGAAACAAACAATTTCTTTTAAATTGAAAATGGACACTAGTGACAAAGGTGATTCAGTAAATGAGAAAATCTAGTCCTGCTTTATCAAGCACTTCAGCATGTCAGAAAGGTGGACAGAAGGGAAAATATAATGTGATTCAGGGACTGTGAGACAGACTGACACAGGGATCTACAGAAACGTGATTATAATCCAGATTAATAGTGCCAGTCACACTTTTAAAGAACAGGGACATTTTACAGAACCAACTCTGAATGTATATAATTTTGATAGAAACAAACAATTTCTTTTAAATTGAAAATGAACACTACAGCTAGTGACAAAGGTGATTCAGAAAATGAGAAAATCTAGTCCTGCATTATCAAGCACTTCAACATTTCAGAAAGGTGGACAGAAGGGAAAATATAATGTGATTCAGGGACTGTGAGACAGACCGTACTAAACAGCTGATACATGTCCAACCAAGCGGTTGAACGGAAGTCACTGACACGTGATTGTTCATTTGGGATAGGGATATGGATAGAGATAGCATGAACGTAATGATGTACTGTCCCAGAAATAAAATTAGTATATTTAAAAATATATATCTGCATGAATGAAACACTGACATTTAATCCCAGAAATATTATTATCAAATTCGAAAATGTGTATCTGCATAAATGAATGAATGGATGGGTGAATGAATGAATGAATGAATGAATGAATGGATGGATGAATGAATGAATGAATGGATGAATGAATGAATGAATGGGTGAATGAATGAATGAATGGGTGAATGAATGAATGAATGGGTGAATGAATGAATGAATGAATGAATGAATGAATGAATGAATGAATGACGGCCAGAACAAATGTTTCAGTAGGTGAAGTCATGTAAAATTCCCAATCATTCCAGTCGTGAGTTCGACTCCTTCTTCAGTATTATTTGGGATCTGATAAACGGACCAACACAGATATTGAATATCCTAAAATATATATACTGGCATGAAGGAACTGGTGGAATGACGATAAATGTGTGTAAAACTAGTGTCCGATGAAGATCGATATCCGCTGTGGTACCATTTGGGTCGATACATACACGACAGCATCCTCGATAATCTCCAGGGTATACGTTACGATCACTCTCCACTATACCCTGGATGCATCCACGGCTTGCGATAATTATATTACCTCACTTTGCTGGCTCAGCATTCTCACAGTAGCCAATCAGCTAAGCCGCCGTTACATCCGAGCTTGCCAGTGTCAACAAGGATAGCGGTCGCAGTGCCACTCAGATTTTTGGGGAAATCATACAGACAAATTGACAGATCTGAAACTTTAAAAATATATATGAAAGAACAACTTCTACCTCTTTCAGAGTACCTCTGCATCAACTGTGTTGCTAAGTGTAAACGGTTAGATAATTTAAGAAGCGAAAGTGACTTCTGATTGGTTCGCTC